ATGTAAATACAATACAAATTAAACCAAGATTTATAATAATTATCATTTTGATCCATACATTGGTAATGTGTGACTGGACCTCGTGTCACTTTATGTTCAATAAATTGGGCCCTGAGGTCAAAAAGGTTAAGAGCCTCTGGTTTAAATGAGGGTTTTTATCTAGAAGTTTGAACAAATCCTAAAACTGAGCCCATCCTAGGTGGCCCAGTGTGTGTATGTTCACGTCATCAGTAGCCCACCTGAATGTCACAGTAGTTGCGCTTGGACACGAAGCACACGCTGATGGGGAAGAAGTCATTGGGCTGCCCAGCGATGCTGAACTCCAAGCTGCCAGTTTTGTTGTTGGCATCAATGACAGGAAGGCACCACTCCAGGATGTTCCTCCGGCTGTCGTGTTTGTACTCCCCGTCCAGATCACCGATGACAGGAGCTCCCACACCAGATCTGAGGAGGAGGAGGGGTCAGTACAACAAACGGACAGGAGCTTCATGTGGGAACACGTCCAAACATGTTGACACACACACACATGTTTGTTTTGTGTTCTATTCATCTGTAATCAGGTTCACATTAACTGCACAACTAAAACAGGACAGATCCATGAGTAACCAAAGCTACAGCACCACCACCTGGTGACTTCATGTGTATCACTTATTTACACGTCTTAATAAAGTGATTCCAGACTCTTTGGTGTGGCTTTTTAAAGACATGACATTGGTTTGGTTTGTGTGAATGAAATTCCTCATATAAAACACACAACTTGCATAAAAGCAGGATTTTTACAGTAACACATTCACAGCAGACCCAGGGTTTCCCACAGAAAACTGGCTCAACTCAGTGGTAGGGTCGCCATGTTTTCATTAAAAAATGTTAAATTTGTAATCATGTACGACATCATTAATATTTAAAAAACAATTATAAACAGGCTCTCCACCGTTTGAAACTAAGAGCTACCTCAGGGGTACACAGCTCACCTTTAATGATACTATTAATGATAAAATGTACATGTGTATGAATATTTGACTGAGTGTCCCTGTGATGGACTGGAGACCAGTCCAGGTGTCCCTATAATTTTGTGTATTTTGTAAATGTAAAAAATAAAATGATAAAAATATTTGAAAGCTTGTAGGAATGAACACATTTGTAACATTTATTTAAAACACACCTACTTAAAGGGATCCCCGATTAGTTGTAACATTAGACTTTATTTGATAAACATTTATTTTAACTGTAAAATAAAGACTATAAAAATACTGTAGGATGTTTAGTTTTTATAATTTTTAAAAATATATTTTAATACGGACGGAGCCATTTTATTTACA